GAATAGGGGTGTAAATCACATCCATCATGGCGATTCGATTCAGTATCGATTTCCTGACCCAACGATTCGATTATTTTCGATACTCAAGAATACACCACGATTCGATTCGATTCGATTAATCGGTTAATTTTTTTTTTTATTATTATCATTTTTTTTACACCTTACAGGCTAAACAAAGTTTCAAGTTTGAAATAAATCAATGAAAGCTGTAATATCATTATGCATTTTCTTTAGAAACAACAGCAAATAACAGAAGTAGAAAAGTTGCATCAAAAAATACTGCAAAAATACTGCACAATATCAGTGTAATGAGTTCAATGCAATACCTCGGCTCCAGAGAAACTGTCCAACATATTTTTTTAGAATGTAATAAATATACTCAGGAAAGAGAGATATTGTGTAGAGAGTTAGACAGGAATAAAAATAAACTAGATATAAGGGAATTGTTTCAAAGGTCATCTGGGGATGTAGTTTTTGGTAGTATTTTTAATTTTCTAAGAAGAAGGGAGAATATAATAGTTTGTCTGGTCCATACTCCATTCTGGAAGGTGGCGGTAATGCACCTATAAATTGTTTGCCAACCGCCATTAAAAAAAAGAAGAAGAAGAAGGCTCCAGAGTGTTGACGTCACCGCCCCCTTGAGAGACGCTCCGCTGCACCTCTCCCAGATTGTAGCTGACCGCAAACAGTGCAGCAGACAGGAGGCCGGCTTGTTTTGTTTTTGTGACCGAAATTGCTGAAAACAACTCGTGAAGTTTGACCCGCTAGAAGAGCGAGGTGCGCGAGACCGCTGGGAGCCTTTTTCCAGCTGAATCTCCGCTCTTTTTGCCCCATTGTCCCTCCGTCGTCGGACTAAACTCGCCCCCACTTCCTCATCGCCTCGGCCATATCTAGACCCACAGCGTGTAGCCCAGACCACGCTTCAATACTGAGCATAATTTAAAAATGTCTGTGTGAAGCTTGCTGCAACAAACTGCTGTAAGAGTATAACCAGGAAGCGCGGTAGGAGGGCAAAATAGGTTTAGCGGCACCGCAGCACGGGAGGGAGAATTGCGCCCAGGAGCAAATGGATAAAAATAGACCGGAGGAAAAAAAAAAACATGAATCGATTATCTTGCGGACGTGTCGATGCATCGGATCGTCGGCTTCTGGATCGATGCATCGATACAAAACGATTATTATTTACACCCCTAGTTCAGAATTAAAAAAAACTAGAATATGTTACAATATTTTAATAGTTTTGTTATTAATTTATGAGCATAGCCTTGTGTCTTATATAGATAGCTTTACATCTAAAGTTAGAGTTCTCAATCTTTTATTTGTTCTGGTTTCAATATTTACTGCTGATTAAGACCTTAAATTCAAATCCTAAAGTGTTTTATATAATACAAGATACAATATTAAATACAAACAAGTTCTAAGCTATTGAGTGGAAGGAAAAGTGTGAAGTTAGTAAATTAAAAACCATTATTCATAGATGATGGACTACAAATATCACATTCCTTGTGTCAAGCAATAACTAAATGTAAAACCCATCAGCAGTGTCTTTAAAGCTGAAGTCTGTACGTTTTTAAAAATCACTTTTTTGTCATATTGGCTAAAACTGTCCCTATGCCCAGACAGCAGTACATGTGATATGTAACCTGTGAAAAAAACTGCTTCAATTGGTCTCGCCTACTGCCTGTATTGCAATCTGGAAAGAATATTTCGGGACGAGACAAAACAACCAATCACAGCCAGAGGAGCGTCTGATGGAGTGTCAATCACAGCTCACACACGCTGAATCCCGCCCCCACCCTCTCACCGCTGAACCTGCCGCTGCCGCCAGGCTGCCACAGTCAGGAGGACGTGCGTAGAAGTCATGGCGGAGCGACAGCCACCAGCAAAAGAGAAACTGCCTTTACTGCCCCTGCCGACAACTGCTTACACGGCAAAGACTTCAAAAAAGAAGATGTCATGGAAGAGCTGCCGCGTACGCTGCTTGGACGCTTCTGGTAGCATGCGGTAGCCGCGCAGATGCTGTGAGAGGGGTGGAGCTTGGAGGTGGGGCATGAGTGAAGCAGAGAGGGTGGGGGAGTGGCGTGAAACCTGTTTTTCTTCAAATTTTCAGTCGAAGTCTGCTCTCTTCTCAATGTAACAGACTGCAGCTTTAAGACTAAAGAGAAAAAGAACTGAAAGGTCAGGCAGCAGTCCAAAAATCCCCTTTTCAGATGAAAGTACAGTTTTGTTTCATTATAAAATCAAAGTGCTGGAGTCTCATAGAGTAGAAAAAAACACATTTCACTCTACTTCAAGTTTAGCGTTGGATCAAGTGTACCTGATGTAACCGGAACAACTCCCCTCTGAAGACACAGACCTCTGACAGAGTTTTTAAAAGACGTAACTTCTAGTTCAACTTCCTATTTTGCCGGTAGTCACCTCGACTGCCAAAGGCTAGATGCTAAAGCGCTTACAGCTGAAGGCTATGTTAAGAAGTGACCAAATCCCTCCAGAGAAGTCTGCGCTCGCTGGACTGAGTCAGACTGCTTTTTCCTGTGATTCAAAAGGAGTTGAACGCAGTGTTTTCATTCTTCCTGCAATTAAAACAGAGTTGAACACAGTGTTTCCTGAATCCTGTTGCAGCAGAGACAGAGAAGAGCTAATCCAGCTCTGCTAACCGGAATCTAACCTCCAAACAACAGGGTCCCCAATCGCTGTTCGCCGAAGGAGCAGTTAGAAGCCGCCAGACTAGTGACTGCCTGCGACGGAGAGACAGAGTTGCGCCAAGGAACTGCTGTTGGAGTCTGCGGCTACAAACTAACCCCGGTAGCAAAGAAGGAGATGTCTCGACTACTATGAGTTATAAAATTAATCTCCTTGCAAAATCGCGTTTTATTATTGCATCGGATTGATCCAAATCTCTTTGAGCTGCTGTTGGATTAACGGACTGGCTGGACTACAGACGGGTCCTGCAGGGAACCGGACTGTGCCGAAGGCCTTCACTCCACCGATCATGCCCACCCCCCCTTTCCATCTGAACCGCTGCTAAATTTAGAGTACACTTTTAATGCATTAAGCCTTAAACTTCAAATATCCATCAGACTTTAAACTGTCTTTTAAACCCCTCTTCCCCTTTTTTTTCTTTATTTTTGCTTCTTTTCAGTGGTGCTATGTGTCTGTTTAGTTATTAGGTATAATACTGTGTGATTGTGGCTAATAAAGGTACCATTATATCTTGTGTTCATTTTACAAAGTGAATTATTTATTACTCAGGCTGGATTCACAATTCTTTCAGTAGAGACACATTTATTTGGTTGCTGGTTAATAACGTTGCTGATAGCTATAGTCAAAATTACTAAATTGGCAAAAGACAACTGAATTTTTAACAGCCGGATTAAGGAGTGCCACCCTCTAGGTAAGAGGCTAAAAACCCTGGTCAGTAAGCAAATTATAGTTATTTAGTTAGTTAACTAGTTAGTTAACTAGTTTACCCTTGACTTCCTAGAACTTCCAGTTCTACTTATTCAATATATTCATAATTTTCTGGTAAACTGTGAAGTTCCCAGTCTGAGATGATTTGGAGAGCCGTGTCATCTGCTGTTTTTTTTTTCTGAATTCAGCAGTCAACAGAAACATATACCATCAAAAATAAGAAAGAAGTGAACACTCCCTTCTGCTGGAAAGCTTTATGGAGATGCTGATTTCATTTTCTAACAGGACTTGTTACCTGCCCATAGAGGTACCAGTAGCTGGTTTATACTGTTCTCCCTGCTGCCCACTGGGAAGAGGCTTTGCAGAATTCGATGCAGGACCAGCAGGTTCTGTACCAGTTTTTTTCCCTGCTGCCGACACTGTTTAACTATTGAAAAACTCAAATCAAGTCTCAAATTGAGACACTGCATCACACTGACAACATCATACTTGCACAACATGGTGAATCTTTGAAAATGGAACTCAACTCAGTATTTCTACTGCATTTCTATGGTGCATTTTGCACCATATGTATTTATTTATTTTTGCACTGCTATGAACCTTCCACAGCAATGTATTTTGCACCATGCCTCTCCTGCACTGTTTACATTCTGATCAATGCTGTACTTTATAAATGGGAATGTTCATTTCACTGCTAAGCTGCTGCTCATTCACTGTCAGAAAGCTGTATCTAATTTTTTTTTTGCATACAAAACTCTGTGTATACAAAATGACAATAAAGTCTATTGACCACAGTGTCCTTTGCACGATTGACCAGCAAACTCAGGCTTATATGGGGTATTTTTAGGAGGATTTGAGACACCAGAGCAATCAATGTAGATGACCCAAAGGCCACTACAGAAGTTACCTGAACTTCTATCAAACCAAGCATAGCAGAATGAATAAACCACAGCTGGATTCTGTTTAATAACTAAAATCTGTTATGTTAGTTAAGCCAAGATTAAAACAATGCATCAGTTTACTCCACTTTAGAATTAGGTGCTCCTTTATGTTTGTCTGGCACATAGTATCCCAATAAAACACCCTTACAATAAAATACAAGTTTGCTATTGGACTATGAAATATTTCTGTTCGATTAACTTTGAGCCCTTCATTATACAATATATTTAATATTACATTTTATGCTTGGCAGTTTGGTGCCATTATTGGCAACAGGGCTGAGGAATATTTACTTTACACAATCCTCTCCAGAACAGAAGGTGATTATGGAGCTGATCTCTGTAAACCCATTAGGCCATGCACTGTAGTACATTTTGACAAACATAACAACGGGTACAGCTTTATAAAACACATACTAAAATGTTATTAAAACAAAAACATACCCTGCACTGTATTTTCTGTGTCACTAAAGATCCTATTAGTTGCTGGGTGTGACATGATGTAGGCTACAGCAAAAAATTAGTATACCACATGGCAAGTGGATAAATAAACAATGATCACATCTCAAAAGAAATACATTGCCACAGTATTTTAATAATGTTTTAAATGCAGGATGTGAATAAGACAGGAAAGGATGAGACTCTGCTTACCTAAAATATGGGAGCAGTGAACCTGTGACCTGCTGCAGCCTCGCTGCCAGGCAACATGTTGAACATGATCAAAGGCGCAACAAATAAACCAGTAACTAATCTAGACTGGGAGCGGACAATGTCTGCAGATAATGCCTAAGCTGCAGTCCATTTTAGACCGGGATAGTCTGCAGACCAGTGAGCCTCAGCCGCTGTCGGTCCAGTCAGACCTCTCCTGGTACCTGTTTGGACTCCTGCATGTCATTTCTGAGCCAATGCAGTTGAGGTAGCCGCAGTCACGCTGTTCGATAGGAAGGATTTTCTTATTCCTTCACTCGGGTGAATATCCACGGACCTATTCTGCGGCTGTTTATAAGCTAAAATGCTCCATAGGATCTAACCTCAGCTCTGCTCACATCGACCTGCATGCGTCCCGGTCCTCTTCTCTGATTGGCTGACAGAAATGCCAATCATGGGGACCTTCTGAAGTGGAGCCTCAGTGGCGTCTGGTGGCTGCCAATTGTACTGTTTTGTTTTTTTTATTTTAATTTTTTTGTTGTTGTTTTTGTTTCTTTAATAACTGTATTCAATTATGAATGACAATAACTAAGGAAAAAATGTTAAAATATAACTTAAGCCAAATATTTAATCGGTGTTTATTTACATCTAAATTAATGAAAAAAAATATTCTATTGATCTTGGGGCTTGATTAACACACATGGGGAAATTTAAACAAACAGAGCTGTTTTTTGGGAAAACAGTCTGATAGTGAGGGGCTTTAAAGATAGAAAACCTTCCAGACATCCAAAGGCAAATATGACCTCATTTACTCTATTCCCTCTTAAAGGACATTTGAGTTCTAACTGATCTTTGGGTAGATCTGAAGAAGTCATTCACTCTCTCTATGACTGTTGCACCTGCAGCGAGAAGCTTTTCCAAACTTGTTTTCCAAACAAGAACTACCTGAGATGTTCCAGGTAGTAGGAGAATGATGCAGCCCGCTTTAAGTGATTTGTATTATCAGCAAAGCTGTCTGTCAAATTTTTATAACTGATTTTTCAAACCAAAAAGCTTAAGAGTTCTGTATTTTTAAAGTGATAGTTGAGTAATGAGAAAAAACAGTGTAACATAAAAATATCATATGTTTTTAGGGAAAATTGTTTGTTTTAAACAGAGCTTTTTCATGTTGTTACATATACTTGGGTAGTTTTAAGGGCCTTCTAATTGAGCTTTAATTGTTTACATTTTCCATCTGGTTTCAGGTAACTTTTATTTCTATTATTTAAAAACATGCTTGGTTTTTTATTGTTTACTTATTTGTAAATTGTAAAGGATTTTTTATTTTATTTAACTTGTTTTGTTCACTTTTTAAGATGTTTTTATCCATTATATTTTATTTATTGTTTTTGTATTACAGGTTTTCAATTCCACATGATACTAATACTGTATATAAAGTGCATAATTAGTTTATTACTTTGTCGACACAAGATGATGTACAAAAATATTAGAATATAAACAGCACAGCAAGAGATCAAGAGATGCAAGCAGAAGGTGTGTGAATAATCTGATTATTACACTGTTAACTGGAGCGGAAATAGAGGGTCCAAATATCAAGTTTTGATTAGGGCCCCATAGACCCCATACTTTGGCTGGTTCTGCCATAGGCGGCAAAATGTTCTGCAACCATTACTATAGGGGAACAGGGAAAATAATATAAAAACACAAAATAGGATTTTAAAAAAGCCAACACATTCTTAGCATTCGAACAAACATGATCCACCAGTCATAAAAATAAATTTTAGTCATCATTACAAAGACAAGTTTCAGTTTCAAACAACAAGGTTCTGTTAGATTTGTGCAACTCTGGTAATAGTTTTTAACAGGGCTGCAGAATTAAGTGTATTTGTAATATTATTGCAATTTAGCAAAACACATTTGACAAATCACAGTGGCACATAATTGCATTCATATTACATTTAACAAGAATAACACACTTAATTTCTCCATCCAGCCCTTTAGTTGGCAGTAATGCTCATCAAGGTAGTGTGGAGGAAAAGACCCACCCTCTTCACTTAAAAAAAAAAAATGCACATGTATAACCCTATAACCATGCCAGAGAGGGAATGTTGTGTGCAAGAACATGCACAAGCCCATTTCTCCTCGTGCACGCTCTGTTTAAAAGTTGTTGTTTGCATTGCTAATACAAGCTCACTTTCCAAAAGATTAGAAAATCGGGACGAGCATGTAGGATGGCCTTACGTAGACATATCATCAGAATGATGGACAATTAGGAGGACCACTTATTTTGATGATCCACCCGGAAAAAGAACATCCTCCACTATACCTTTTAAAGTAGGTTTGCCACCACACAGAAGGGAAGAGTGGCAACTAGCATGCAGATCCATGCATCTTGGTAGAATATACTGTAAGAACTTTTTTAAGGAAAGGGTTAAAGTAAAGTCCTGAAACAATGGACTCTGGAAAAACAAGTGATAAAAAAAAATGAAAACTTGTGCTTAGTGCAAAAAACATTTGATTATTAAATGAAAATAATCGCAATTTGGATTTTGGCAAACTAGTTAAGCCCTAGTTCTAATGTCCAACTGAAAATATTAAATATCTTCTGTGAACCTTTCTAGGAAAAGTCAGAATTTAAGGTTTGGTCTTAGTCTGCCTCTGCTCTTAATTAAATTGGATGGGCTACTGATAACGCATATTGATCGATGCTGCCATCTAGCGGGGAAAAGAGATTGTCTAGCTTTGTTTGGAACACGTTGGCTCAAATTCAAGCAGGTAGTCAAACATTTAGTGAAAAACAATTTCTCAAATTGATTTTCTGTTATTTACAGGCACTACATCTAGGCTATGTTGAATAAGACTCTTATGACATTATTGTGACTGTGGCTATTTAATTAGGTTTAATTAGGTCTCATGCAAATTTAAATTGTTTGAAAATAGACAAACTTTGAAATATTCTTCATTTCTTTCTGTGCTAAGACTATTTATAAAACAAAAAGTCTGATATCATCTTGAGATTTGTTTTTACTACTTTGTTTGAGAACCATAATTGTTTTTGGATTTTTTTTAAATTAAGATGGATGAAAAAGAACAGATTTAAACTAAAGATAGATAAACTCCAAGAGACACATTTTGGAAATAATGTTAATATGTCATAGTCAATACATTTTTTGGTTTTCTGTTTTTATTATTTCTATTTCATTCTTTTTAAGTTTCTGCTTAATGTAAAATCTATCCATCTCTACTGACACGAGCTGAAGGTAATTGATCAGAGTTATTTTGATTTTTTTTACTTTTCTTCATGTAAAATCATCTTTCCTTGTTCCATAATTACATTTCTTTTTGGCAGGTATTATGTAGTATTCTGTACAGCAAAATATTTCAGCTTGATATATAAATTCTGGATGGATTCTAGGACAATTTGCCAAAAGTAGTTTGATGGGCAGATTTTCTGATCTAAGATCCTTAGCAATTATTTTGAGCAAAGCTGTGCAGTATGTTCTGGTTGATTTGTTCTCTTTAGGTAAATCACACTATAGTGAAAGCTGATACAATCAAAGTATAGAAATTCCTTTCTTATAAGTTGTTATAAGTTGCTTTAAAAACCCATGAAAAAAATCATACAGGAATATATTAAACAGCTGTGCTTGAAAGTTAACACACCCTTCCATTAAAAACAGAAACAAATCAGCTGCCAGTGAAATAAACTAAAACTGACAAAAGTAATAATAAATACAAATTAGAAAAGATAAAAAATAATGATATTGATATTTATTTACAAACATATTTATATATCAATGAATAAACAAGCTTGATGGATTTCTTGAAGTCAAATTATGTTGAGCAACACTTAAAATCAGGTGTTTTCTGTAATGTTCAGGAAATGTTCAGGAAGATTCCTGCACATGTTAACAGGTATGCTGGTTCACTGTTCATCAGCAAGGTACTTTAAATTGTTTGGGTTAGTTTTGTTTTAGAAATGTTTTTTTAAATAAAAATTCAATATATCTTTACACAATTATGATTTACTATTTTTTTTTAATTACCATAGTTTTTTTTTCAGATTTGCCTTATTTAAATTACTAGTGTGAATTTATCATCTTTCATGGGACAGTATGTAAACTTTTCTGCACAACTGTAGTTTTGATCAGTTTATGATCATTGCATCCATCAAGTTGTGGGAATCATTTAAGTCAGACTCAAGCTGAAACACATAAATCTGCAACACTTTCTCCTCTAAAACAGCCCAAACACTTGAGGATTTACAATACAATCTGTCAAAAGCTGCTCATCCGATGTAATGTTTACTAATGCTAGCTGATCTGCTTAATCCTCGTGCCTCTTGTGATGTTATTGACTCAAATACACATGAAGTAGAGCTTTTTTACTTCAGTGTACTTTAAAATTGTGAGATCCTGCTGATGCTGCTGATGTTGTTCACAATACAAATCTTGTTTTTCTATTGTCCATATGCCTCTTCAACATCTGCTGCAGACAAATTGTAAACTTATTTCCTACTTTAGTTCTGAAATACCTTCTACCAAAATTACCATTATCTATTATTATTTAAGAGTTTTAATTTTCCAGTTAGCCCATGCCATATTTGATTTTTGTAATTCTGTGCAACAAAAAATTTACATGTAAAAAAAAAAAAAAAAACTAGGTGATTCAATCTGCCTTTTTCTTTTACTGCTTTGAACCCCAAACCTAATGTGCTTACTGAAAGCAACTGCAAAGTAACCCCTATTCTGATAAGAAACATTTAACACTGATAAAAGTGTAAAACTGTTCTAAGATTTTATATTTAAGCGGGAAGATTTTGATGAACACTTCTGGGTAGTTCCATAAGTTTATGGTCCCAAGGATGGGTAAATAGATGAATTCAATCCCAATATATATTTTAAGTGTCACAACTAAAGCAACCTTTGGTAAGGTTTGAACATTAACTTTATATTTTGAACCAAATGAATTAGATACATTATTTGGGTTCTTGCTAGATTTGCCTCCATTCAGACCAAAGCAATATATTTAGAGGCAACTTTTACTTAGTGCAACTAGCAGTGGATTTTGTTATTTACATACTTTTTTATAAAGCGATGTCTCCCATCATCTTTTCCTTTAACATTTAAGTTCAGGTTTGAATAATGGGACTATCTACAATCAAACTAAAATACTATTATAGTAAGTATTTCTTTTTTATCAGTATTTAATTATTTATTGTTACTAAATAGGAACCAACTCGACATTCCCTTCAGAAAGTGGTGTGCTGCTTATAAAGGTGCAATTTATTTGGTTTGATTTTTTTTCCAGAATAAGAAATAACTGATACAACACAGTGGTTTACTTCTGTAAATTAGAGCCTTATAATCTTTCAGATGACATATAAATTACAAAAAATATATCATGTCCACCCCTGCAGTTAATAATATAGCAACCAGACATAAACTGTTTTATTACCAAACTGCCAGAAATTATGATATATGGTATATATGATGGAGGGAGTCTGAAGACCTTCAGCAAAAGTAACATTGTTGGACAATTTCTCACATCCCATAATGTCTCCCATAAGCTGATGCAGAGCAGAAGAGCTCCGTTAGTGGTAGACTGCTGTAACCTTAGTGGTCCAAAGAAGTGTCTTTGTAGATCTTTTCCTCCCAGATTTGTTAGACCTTACAACCATTGTTACTTCCAACAAATTAAATATGTGTTCATATCCGCTTATGGCCCAGTACATTTCTAATAATAATATGCGCTGGAATAAACATTGTGACTGATATGTCCCTAGGACCCATTTCATTTTTTTTTTTTTTACAATTCTGTTTTAACTAGGATTTGGAAATTAAATTGATGAGTTCAATCATATTAAGATAGGATCAATGTTTTCATCTGTTCAATTTTATTTAGGAGATTAAACATCATTAAAACAAAATGTAAATGTTGGGAGCTGGAGAAGTTCCACCCTTCTCCAGCAGAGTCCGCCGTGGATCCTTCTGAGGGAGCCTCCTGCACAGCTGCAGCTCATCAAGATCATCACAGGATCCACTACTTAAGCTGTCTTCAGACCTTGCCTCAACGCCGCAGTGTTGATCCAGTTGGTCAGCGCCTAAGCCTAGATCCTCAGAGAAACTTTGTGATTTTGAATCCAGCCAGGATTCTAACTTTTGTCTCTGTCTTCCAGGAAACCAGTGTCTCCTCTGTGAAGCTCTGGAAGAGCTAACCTGCCGAGCCGACCCTCAGAGCCAAACCTGAAGAATCTTAGAGAACCTCCAAGCAGCTCAGGACTAGAGCTGGAAAACCCAAAAACCAAGGTCTGTTCATTATAGACGTGAGACGCTGAAGCAGCAAGCGGACTCTGCTGATGAACCCCTCTCCAGATCCAACAGTGACTCTCCCAAAGCTAACCTCAAGAACCCTCAAGGTACAATCAGTAATCTTCAGGAAATCAACCCTCTGTTGGCAACGCTAACTGAACTGTCTCTCACGCAGACTCCGGTGAACCAGTGTCCAGGCCCGAACCTGAATAAGTACATTCTTTGTGCTTTTGCAAAATAAACTTGTTAAACTTTCATCCCTGTGTCCGTCAGTGGTGTTCTGCATACTTGGGTCGCTAACAGTGAACCCATCATGACAGAAAACATACTTAAAACAGAATTTATTATTTTTCAGATTTATTTAGGTTCTTTTTATAATTTGATTAAAACTGGTCATTTTCATTTAACATAAGTAAAACATGAATAATTTTTCCCTGCATTATGAATGTACATATACCCTAATATTACAAAGAAAAGTTTATTGTATTTAGCAACTAATTATTTCAGTTACTTTTTTCACATTGTAAAGGATTTTTAATTTTAGATAAAGTAGAATGGACATTCTTCATCAAGCCAAAAATTCAAATTATTAATTAGAACAACATAAAATTTAAATTAAGCTAGATTATCAGGAAATTTCCCTTCATTCAGTGCAGAACCACAAGAACGTAGCTCTGTGGTTCTGCAGCTCTCTAAATAGTTCTTAAATCATAAACTTGCCCTGTTTTTTTTGTTTTTAAACTGTTTTTTTATGGGTTTTTTTTTATGTTTTTCTATGCCCCCATGAATGAACTCTGGCCTCAACCTAGCCCTCCTAGCAAATTTGGTCTAGAAATGCCTTTGCCCACGTGTGCATCTGTATTCTTCCATTTATGTTTCTGCTCTGACGCTTAAATATCTATCTATCCAATCCATATTTACAAAGGTTATTATTTCCAGTATAAAAATATGTTTTACGATCCAAAACATTTTGGTGTGATAAACAGACAAAAACAGAAGAAATCTGTAAGGAATCCACAACTTTTAAGTATGATGATAATCACGTGTAGCCTACAAAGTACAAACGAAAGCTGATTGTAACTGTATTTGATGCAAGGTCAGCAGGGAACCTGTTGATGTTCAGCTACATGATGAGTCACATGCAAACTCCCAGACACAGCAGGCTGCAACATTTCCAAAACACACACACACATACTCGTTCTGCCATTGTAGTAAGGACCATGTGTGGACTCACATTGATTTTCAGTCATTTTCAACCCATAATATGCCCTAACCCTAAAACTAACCCTAAACCTAACCATTACTGATGCATACCTCACCCTAACCCTAACCAATTGACACCTTAGCCCTACACCTAACTTTGCAACAGCTGGTCCTCAATATGTATGGGGGACCCATCCTGCCATAATTAAAATAAATACAAAAATTAATAAATGCTCCAAAAATAAACAAAAAAAAATAGCTGCCGCAGCTCACTGACAGCTTGATCGTAAGTAGCCATGTTTGTTGTGACTGTGGCCAGTGGCTGCTAACCAAACAATAGGGAGAAGTTGACCCTCTAAGACACACCCCTCCTCATTTGCATGATGAGGCAGAAATGCATACAGAAATGTAAATACGACAGACAGAAATACATAGCGTTGAAGAAATAAATAGGGTAAAAAAAAAAATACAAAGAAAGAATAACCCAGACAGAAATATTATAAGATGCACCTAAATAAATACTTAAAGTAATAAATAAATAAAGTTAAAGATTATAACGGACAATAAATAAATGAGGTAATTATTACAAAGGCAAATAAACAAAGAAGCTAATCAAAAGATATACGTATATATTTATGTCTCACTGTATAATTTAATTTGTACCTACATTTATTTGTTTATTGTATTTCTGGGGGGCAATTAATTGTATGCTTATTTATTTTTGGAGCATTTATTTATTTCTGTATTTAATTTTATGGGCGTAGGTTTGCATAGGGACCATAGGGACATGTCCCTACCAAAATGTTGGATCGTTCTACTTGTCCCTACCAATAATTAGATGTGAACAACATGTTTATAATTTACAATACAGCATTGTTGCATAAGGAGCTATTTAAACACTCAGACAGTAAGCAAGATTGGATGATGATAAAAGATTGTGTTACATTTAATCCTTTATTATTAAAAATGCACTTGTATAATAGAAACGTTATATGATTGTAGGAAACACAGATATAATGATGCAGGGCAGCCTAAAGGTGAAGCAGCTGCCTTTCAGTGCTGTATTATGGAAGAAATATGTTTGTAATGTTACCATAAAATTAGGGCTGCAATTAATGATTATTTAGCAAATTGACTTATCTGTTGATACTTTTTATCCAAAGGTTCCTTAAAGAAGATTTTTTACTAAATGAAACTAGATGACACAGAAACTTTTCCTCTTGAGGAGTTCTGGATTGTATTAATGTAGCAAGAAATGTTGCTCTTCTCTTTAAATAAAATGTGCCCTGATGCTCACATTGAGAATAAAAAAAAGAGCATGCAAATTTTTGCATAGGACCAATGACATCAGACCAATGAAACTGAAGACCAATAGTGTCCCTACCAAAGTTGAAATCAAACCTACGCCCTTATTTATTTTTAATTATGGCAGGACTGGTCCTCCATAAATCTGATGATGAAATGAAAAATTGTCCTCACTCTCACACACCCAGGCCCCTGCGCAAACCTCCCCCCACCTTCATCATGTCTCACCGCTCTGCTCCTAGAGAGCCAACCTCCATTGTGTCCGCGTGGTGGCGCTCGAGCTGTTTCCACCTGAACCAAGCGCATCAGTCAGGCTATTTAACCATAGGGTGTGTGGATTCATTCCGCTCTGAAACTGGGAACCCAAAGCATCATATCTTCTGTAATGCGATTCCAAAACAGCTTTCTAAACTCCACAATTTCTCCAGAGGAACTTTTCTAACTCCGCTCCTCATCTCCACTTCTCACTTGATGTTAATTGCTGAGGGATTGCACCTCTAATCATTGTGGCACCTTTTTTTTTATTTTATTTTTTATTTTCTATAGAAGTTTGATTCATTTTACATGCAAAAGTAGAAAATGAATAGCACCGGCTTCAACCAGACAGACGGCGCACTCTTCAACAAGACGGAGGAGTTTTTCTGCTGCAACTTCTCCTCCGTGGTGACTGATAATGGCTTTGTGGCTGCAGCTCCGGATGAGAGGAGCCTCTTCATCATGAGAGTGGTCCAGATAGCCGTCATGTGCGTCCTGTCTCTCACCGTGGTGTTTGGCATCTTCTTCCTGGGCTGCAACCTCCTCATCAAGTCCGAGGGGATGATCAACTTTCTGGTGACGGACAGGAGACCGTCTAAAGAAGCAGAGGCGGTGATTGTTGGAAACTACTGATGCTGGGATCAGATGGATGAACAATGGACATGTTCTAAAAACCGAAAGAAGTGCCCCCCATGTATGAGGATCCTGTTGGGGGACGCACAGCTGCTCACCTTTAATCATGTGGCCTTTTTTTAATGCCAACAGTCTCAAAGAGGTAAAGTGCGCAGAGAACCTCTTTATTCAAGTGTCCAATGACGCACTGATGTTATTTTATAGTTGTAAAGCATTAACAAGAAGCAACGTTTTGTATTCACTGCTTGGAAAAGAGGTGGAAAAATATATGTTGAATGTTTTCTATTTGTAAAACTTAAGTCAGTATAATCTGTTCAATATATTCTGTGCAAAGAAAAGGAAACAAAAATGTACCAGCTCGCAGAAATGATGAGAGTCTGATTTAATTCCTTCTGTGATTAAAACAATTTTCCTTTTAACTGAAGTCATTTTTGTTAAATCTTACTTTGGGATTCAAAGTTCCTGATAGGTCATCTCAGTTTCTTATCTCTATTGAACAGAAGGACATTTAATATGTAGTTGCAAATTGAAATGGTAAAAAAAAAAAAAAAAAATCCATATTAAAACTAATGATATCTGGATAAAATAAAAATATATTAGATTCTACCTTCATGTTTGAGCTTTTTTTGTTTGGGTTCCATTTAGACAGAATCTATGATAGAAAAAAGAAGTTTTAGAGGGCGGTTAATATTCAAGGCTTCATTATTCATTTATTGATTTATTTTAATCAAGTATTATAGTTTCTAAAAACAAGTTTATATTATTTTAGAATTATAGAAACTCTATAATTCCATTTTTGTAACCTACAAACTTTAATACAATTACATTTAAAATATGTTTGCTGTTTACAGGATTAAATTTAAAATATGTTTCATTGAACAGTTATGATTGTTATTTTTGAGCTGTGTACAGCAGGTTTATAGACCTAGTGCACCCTATGTCACTCTTACAGATTTACTCTGTTCTTGCTTTTTTTGTCAAAATAAAAGTTGGAAGATAAAGATGTTGACACCAGTTAAAATTACAAATACAAAATACAGGTTTTCAGATAACAAAACTGGCCCCACATATCGACACTGTGATTTAATTAATTGGTGAAAGTACTGATTTTTAAGCAATGTGATGCTTTACATCACTAAAGGACTTTAAATCACTACTCTTTTCAGCAGAATTGAACCATTTTCAGTTGCAATGAAGCATTTTTTTAAAAATAATACGATTAAGACTGGACTTTGACTTGATTACTTTGTTTTGTTTTGGTTGGTTTTCTTTTTCTTTTCCTCTCAAATTAATTGTTTTACATCAGGATCCACACTTTCCTTTTAGGCTTTTGTCACGACAGTCTACGTAATTCACAAAAACTGAGGCTGATCGAAAAACCTTTTGGAGAGAAGTTATTTCCACCTTGGAAATCTCACATGAATGCAAATATTGCCCAGTCTCTCTCTAATTAAAAAGCCATAATCAGTGTCCTTGACTGGGGCAACTGGGGAGGAGACCAGTCCCTCCTAGGAAACTTCCCCCTGTTCCATTTGTGAATGATGGATCTTATTGTAGGTCAGTAAAGTCTCAAAGCCGTAAAAATAGTTTTTATACCATTTCTAGGTAACTTTTTTATTATTTTTACCTTAGATGTTTCCCTTTGTGGAAGAATGTCTTGATTTTTGAGATATTTTGGCGCTAATAAAGCTTGGGTGTGGCAAGTGAAAGTACACCAAAAAATTGTTACAACAATAAAATGACACTCTACCAAAAGTGGCAGTCTTATTTTTATAAAGCGCCAGATTGGTATGGACAGGTTTTTAATTTATTAAATAAAAAAGTACCTTTTCTATTAAACTGTATCATCTGGTTATTAGCTTTTATTTTCTAAAGAAAATGATTGAAGCAGGAAAGTGCAAAACAGAATGTATATTTTCACAGAAAAGCGTCTGTCTTTATCGATTGTATAATGAATATATTTAACTAAGTGATTATTAGTAGCTGTTGGAAAGGTTTCAGCCATTAGAGGAGGGAAACATCTCTGCCTTTACATGAAGCTCTAAAACTGTATCATGTTTGCTAATCTATTCTTATTTTGTATAAACTTGTAGAATTTTAAATTTATGTTTAGACAGATAATCCCAGTTTGATGAAGCAGTAAAATATAGTCAACCATCAACTATATACACCTGAAAAAAATCTCCCTGTCTTTATTTCTAAGTGACAACCTAGTAACTTGAATTAATCATTTACTTATTTCCTATCAAAATATCCTAAAAAGAAGCGTTTAAATTTCAATAACATGTTTAGTTAGTTATGTCTAAATGTGGTGGGAATGAAACTTAATCCATTGATTTTAAAGTGAATAAAAGGATATCTGTGGATCAAATTGAACAAAAATAAAATCTATACTGGTTGTTATATGGTTCAGGAATTTTCCAAATGTTTTATCAGCCAATAAAACTACCTTTTTCTCTGCATTTTTCTGTTTCTGTATTTAAAGACGGGCAAACCTAAAACTGATTTTAAAAGAATAGAAATGTTCACTAGAGTTTAATATTTGATAGAAATGTACTATTCAAAAATAAAATTTCTTTCTCATTTTTAGATATGGCTATATAGAAATCGCAAAGATTAATTTTTTTATTCACATGACTCTTTGAAAAATAACCTTATTAATTAGGTTTTATTCTCTCTCTGCCTGAGTCAGGCTTTGATTCATGCAGCCTTTCACATCCTCCCTCCTTCTGTCAAAACATCTGTCGTGCTCTGCCCCAGGGTTCACCTGGCTGCCAGCTCCCCAAGAGCCTCAGAAATTACTTGTCTTGTCAATGCGCTGACGAAGGAGCCACCAGCCAATATGCTGCCATACTTCACTGCCCACCTGTCCTTTAATACAAAGTTAAAAGGAATCAGCTAACATTCATTAAAGTGTCCTTCATTTTGTCTCACTTTTCTCCTGTTTGCTCCTTCTTGATTGTTGTGTCATGTGTGAGAAAGGCTCCTTCTGTCTGACAGCTTTGAAAGATTAACTGTCATAGGCTACATTTGACATCCCTATATCGATGCTTAGGAAACTAATACAATCTGGTAAAACAAAGACTCAGATATGGCAACAGAAACTTAAACTCTGGCAAAAATGTAAGCTAGTAATAAAACTTGCAAAACTTTAATGCATGAAATAGAATTAATGTCCAGTTAGGCAATATAGTTGTTGAATATTAGCAGTGATTACATACATTTTAATTAATATTTTCTGCTCTTCTGCATCTAGTCACTAAAGGCCTGGGCATTAATAGAAGTCTATTTAACTGGCACAGCATGTTACCATTTAAATGTGTGGTAAGGAAAAAAATAAAATCCTAACAAAATAATCATTCGTACCATCCAAAGGTCAACAAGTACAGTAAAATCTCACTATGTAGCCTTAAATCTCAGTACAGACCAGTATGAATTACTGTATAACTGTATTTGCTTAGCTCATTGATGCCTAGGATATGTTTAATGTTCCTTTGGTACGTATTTTGAATTAAACTAATTTAAACTGAATAAAGGCGTGGTACTCTTTTGTAATTATTCGCTCAAGGGTGACACATATCACCTAGAAGGTATTTGGGGTAATTTGATACTGAGTTATTCTCCAAAAGGATAAAAAAAATCACTCACAAATAGTTTTGCTAATACATTTCTTTTATTTATCTGACTTAAAACATTACATAATATATCAACCCTTACTAGATCTAACACAGGGGTTTGCAACCCGTGGCTGTGGAGCCGCACATGACTTTTTGGATCCTCTACAAAGTCTCTTAATGGCTAAAAATGATAAAAAGAACTGTAGTATAATAGAAAATATTAGTCTTAGAAGCTTAAGTGATTTTCATAAACACTTTTTGAATTTAATTTTTACAACACAATGACACTGAAGCTGTAATAGATATTTTATTTTGATTAGTTTGGAAACAATGTGTTTAATTTTTATAATTCTTTCCATCAAATAATGCCCTCTAGAAGATAATCCATGCTTCATTTTTATGAATTGTATTTTTTAAGCTAAAAATACAAATTAAATGTTGGTTGATTAAGATGGTAATGGATTTCAGATGGTAATTATTCAACGAAAACATTAAGTTGTGTTTTATCAAAATTGTAATGTCATTTAATATTTTGTGTCTATAAACAACTTTTATTTAGCTGGACTCAGGGCAAAATATATTTGGATATGAAAGGTTGCAGACATCTGATTTAGTTAGGTTAGCAGGTTAATTGAGTTATTATTGACATTATTATAATTATTATTAGAATCACTGCCTTGTGAAGACATGTAGTGAACTAACGCAATAAAAATAATCTGACCTGCTTTTGACTCTCACCCCTAAAAAGTTGCAGTAACTGGATTGAGATGTCTACTAAGAGGTTGGTACAATTTACCAGTATATAATTTAAACTTCTCTATGAGTAAAGCTGTTCTGTGATGAGCATGAAGAAGGAAGACAATAGACAGGTCTATGTTGATGAAGGGTAGTTTAAAGCAGCAGGTTACAAAGAAATTTCCTAATTTCTGAGCATCTCAGAGCGCTTCTATCTCATCCAACAATAATTCCCTCATCTTCCTACTTAAACTTAAAGACAGGGCAAAGCTAATAGTGAAAAAACTAAAAGGCTCGCATCTAATTTGAAAGATATGGAGCAGTTCACATATCAAGTTAGAATGACTTTCACAATACATGTACAAATCTATAGCAAAAAAACTAACTTATATGGAGGAGTAGAAGTGAGCAAAAATGAGAAGAATTTTTCTGTTTAAAGTGGTCATATGAGGAGGGAGGAAACAGGTAAAATTGAAAATCCTTAAATTAGATCAAAATTAAACTTTTTTTGGCTGACATGTGTGAGAAGGGGGAAAAAGACAATCCATATGTCTCCTTTTTTTATAAAAAGGGACACAAAACCTGGTCTGAATTACTGAGAAGAAAGGTAGCTACGCTAGAGCGATGTGAAGAAGAAGTAAAAAGGACGACTTGAGGCTTAGAAGGAGAAACACCCTTAACATGGATTAAAGTTTGTTCCATTAGAATGCTTTAGTCAAAGTCCATGCTACAGAATATTTGGCAATACAATAAAATTAAATGTATAATAGAGTTTATTTTTGGTTGTTTTTATTTTGAGAGAGAGTAAAACATAGTGTGTTGAAATATGCTCACAGGTAAGTGCCCTGTTATTCTATTCTATTCTATTCTATTCTATTCTATTCTATTCTATTCTATTCTATTATTCTAGATATCACCCAGAAGCAACCTTATGTTTGAATCTGATTTAGAAGAAGCATGAATAATGATAGAACAGAGGTGGTAAAATGTTACTGCTGAAGCATATTCTTACATTTTCACACAGCTTGTGTTGCTCAGGGTTGGCTTGGTGCAAAGCAGACAGATCTGTTACCTTAAAGATTTCACACCCCAGTGCTTGGTGAAATTCAGGAGATACTAACAGCATCCATCTCTATCCTACCGTCAAGAGAATGATTGAGCTCTGCAAGGCTTATGAGCTTCTCTCCCACCAACATGCTCAGAGGGATGCTTTGACTACTATTCTGTGCAAATCTAAAACGGCAAGACAGGCTATTAAAAATACATGTTAGGAGAGCATGAAGTGATGGTGTGTTCTCGCATTTCTTCCCAAAGGCAAAAAGCGTTATAGGTCAGAAGGGAAGAAAAAAAATCCTGTAAACTTTTATAGTATGTACCAGCTGTCTGGGTAAAACATATATGAGCAGTGTAGCGCAGAGCAATACGGCATCAGTTCACTTTATCCGGTGCTGACTGGCAGTGGGCTGTGCTCAACCGTGACAGCATCTGTGGGGTGTTGATTGCGGGCTAAAACAGGCTTCAGTACCCCACTTGCTGTCTTGTGATTGGCTGCTGAGCAAAAGCCCGGTCAATGAACTGGATAGTGACTAAAAGCCCCAAATAGCAGCAAGGCAGCCACAGTCAGTGGCTGCGAACTGATCTTCTGGGATGTAATGCTATAGGCACATCAGTCAATAAGATTTAAGATATACATATTTGGTCAGATCATATTTGTATTCCCTCACTTTGTATGACAGTTAGTGAAGTTAAAATTCTAATGCAAACTCATCATTAAGAATATTTTTATCAAATTAATAAAAATGTTATCACTGTCCAGAGCCATGTCATCAGTGGGTGACATAAATTTCTCCAAACATTTTAAGATCAAGTGATTTAAGAAATGGGTAAAAAGAAAAAAAAAAGCCTTAACACAATAAAATGACTATTTACTGGAAAAAAAGTTATTTAGTAAACTTCAGGAACAATTTCAGTAAACAGGTACATTTAATAATGACCTTATCAGAAATTTTGAAATAGTATATTATACTAAGGGAGGCAGCCTGGGAAACCCCTAATGGTATAGAACAGTACCTTATCATTTTTGTGAACAAAA